AAAAAACAGAAAATATGTAATAATATTTTACACGCAAATACAGGAAAACAGTATACTGTGAGTGTTGCGTTCCCTGGCTCGATAGTTGAAAATGCTCAGTCAACTGAACTTAAAACTTATTTGGCTGGACAGGTAAAAACTTAGAGTTATGAACATTTATTTAAGTTTAATACTAATTTGCTTTAATTCCTGTCGTGAAGCTTGCACGTGCTTTTGCGATATTTAATGTGGATGAAGTAGTCGTCTTCAATGAATCGGGAACATTGCGAAATTCAGATAATATTTTGCAAGGAGAGTCCAGTCGTAAAAAAAAACAACCCAAAAATATTTCTTCAGATCCAAATATTTTTTTAGCTAGGATATTACAGTATTTAGAAACTCCACAGTGAGTTCTTTAAAAGCCTTCATCATTATTATTGTTATAGATTGTCACTAATTTGTTATGTCTAATTGAACTTCATAAGATATTTACGCAAGGATCTATTTCCCGTTCATCAAGATCTTAGATATGCTGGTACTGAAATTTGCATTTAAATTATATAACGCCATTGAAACTCATATTATTTAAAATATATAGGCTTGCTGAATCCATTAGATTGTCCACATCACGTTCGTCAAGATGAGAAATGTCCGTTTAGAGAAGGTGTTGTAATGGACAAAAAGATTAAAAAAGGTTCTTTGGTCAATGCTGGGCTCACCAAGGTAATTTCGTTATCTTACAAACATACATTAAATCACATATTCATACCTCAAACTCCCCATACAGCATGTAATAATTGATCGTTCAATCAAACCAGGAATCCGCGTAACTTTGGATATGGAAAATTATGATGTTGTCAAAGCTGGTAAATTTTATTCATTGGTCTATTCTTTATTTTCTTGATATAATTTATATAATTCTTTTATAGATGGAACCTATATTAAAGCTAAAGTGGTTTCGCCAAAAACTCCGCGACAAAATGGCTTTTATTGGGGCTATCAAGTTCGCATGGCAGATTCAATATCAAAAGTGTTCACCGAGTGTCCATTTCCAGTATGTTCATGATATAATTGTCGAGAATTGTTGAGTAAAGTTGGTTTGATTTCTTATATCTAATGTAAGCAGTCTGGGTACGATCTGACTATAGGAACATCCGAACGTGGCAGGGTTGTTCATAACCTGGTAGACGAATTACCAGATTTTAGGTTTGCTTTACAGTACTATCTTTGTCATTGTTATTTAATGAAATTATATAGCGATTAAGTATTCTTAATAGCCATTTGCTAATCATGTTCGGTGGTTTGGGAGGACTTGAAACTTCTATTGATGCGGATCAAGATTTAAAATGCACCGGCGAAGAAGCGGATGCTTTGTTTGATTTATGGATAAACACATGCCCCGGTCAAGGAAGTCGTACAATAAGAACTGAGGTGCGTTTGAGAATATATGATTAATTTATATTTACATGTTGTGTAAATTATTTCTGTGCTTTTAGGAAGCTGTGCTAATTACATTAGCAACTTTAAGAGCTGCAATTGGCGAGAAAGGAAAGCAATGAGTAAATATGTGGTTGAAAGCTAAAGTGTAGAAGACCGTTATTTTTAAAAGAGAAGTAGAGATGCTAGTTAAATTAATTCCACAAATTCATCAATAGTGATGAAATTATTTCACTACTCTGGTTTAATTTTGCAGCATCTTTAAGGGTAGGGGTATGTAGATCATTTTTTATATGGTAAATTTGTTATATTTAATATCTAAAAACATTTTACTAAGTTAATTGTTTTGAAAGTATTAAGTAAAGTTGTAGAATAAGTTTTTTTTGATTTTAATAGTATTAAGTTATTAAAATTGGTTAAATATTTAAAGATTATTATATTAAAATTATTGATTTGTATAATTTTGAAAATTTTTGGTTATTTTAGAAAAATTTATTTTATTTTTTTATTAAACTGGGCTAAAATTTTATTTAGATATTGTTGGATGGAAAGTTTACAAAAAACTCTTTTATATTAGAGTATATACTAGCTACATGTATACTTTTGGTGTTTATTTTAAGTAGTTTGTTTATATAGATTTTACATTAAATACTATATTTGCAACCCAAATTATAGATATTGTCTATTTTAACTCTCTAAATACAACCCTACTTGTGTCATTAGAATATTCTCTGTTATATTAACTAATTCATTCTTGAAGCATCATTTGTTAGAGCCATCTATTATCTATTATTATTATTTTTTTTAATTTTACAACTAGCCTCTTTGAGGCTAAGGTTTTTTTATTCAAGTATTTTGGTAGAGAGACTTACAAAGGATTTTTCTATTACATTAGAGAGTATATCTAGTTATATATACACTTTTAGTGTTTAATTTAAGTAGTTTACCTATTATTATAGATTCTATACTATATACTGTATCTGTAACCCAACTATCCTTTAAACTGTTAAGATAAGCATTTAAATTTGTATGCTTAAATTTTTAAAAGAAAATAAAACTCTAAAAAATTTTTTTAGTAAAATTTTTATTCTAATTGGTTATAATGATTTTTAGAGACTCAAGTCATACAACACACTTCATAGTTGCAGCATGAAGCACTTCATGTGGTCTAAACAAAAAGCAAACCTTTATCTAATAGCTATAAAATATGCTTTGTTATTTGAACTTTGAGCTGCCATATCTTTGTAGCATTGGCTCAAAAATCAATTGTATAAAGTTGGTCATGAAATATCTTTGATTAACTTTAACATTGTACTATAAAAGAGACCTCTGCATAATAAATATAAGGAATCTTTATAAAAGTTATATGAAGGTTTTTTTTTTAGTATAAAATTTGAACATCAAAGTCTTATTACAATCTACCTTAAATAATTAATTTTTAAAATAACATTTAAAAAATTTTGTATCATAAGAATTATATAGAACCAACATGTAGTATGCTTTATTTTAGCTTAGAAAATAAGAGGTAAAGCTTAACAAAATTTAGAGTAAACAAAAAAAAATAGATTAAAAATTT